GTTTGCCAGATGTTGTTTTTAGTCCTGCTTCTCGTTGAGGATTATACTTACTCTCTCTCTCTCTCTCTCTCTCTCTTTCTATATATATTTGTTCTCACACGGGGGTCCTTTCCCCCGCTCTGAAGTTGACGTTTGTCTCGACTCCACGAACACCACAGTGCATTTTTTACATGCATCTATTCTCCTCGCGCTGTCCTACCTTTCGTGTCTCCTTCTTCTCGAGTTGCGCTTGACAGTGTGCAGGGTGTTTATGCACGTTTTAGATGTATGTTTTCCTGCCGCCGCTGTTTAGCAAGTTGTTGCAAACAACATTTTTGATGCAGGCACCACTGGGCAAGGTACGGTTTTTCTTCGTTTCAACTTATGTGTGGCACACACACACAGGTACCCAGTGAGGCACCATAAAGAGGCACAGATGGAGATTGAGATCGTTTGTGCACAAAGTGGGGCGTCCACAATTCCATATACCATAAACGTGGCCCAACTGATTGTTTTTTCAGGGCGCGCAGGTTTCTTGCTACCGGGGTTTAGCACGCTTTCAGCCATGGGTTGGTTGTTAGCTTTATCCATTTTTGGTGGCGAGCATGGGCCCCACAGTGCGCAGTGTGCAGCAGCAATGCCACAAATGTGGCTGATTTTTTTTCCTTTGCTTAGGTTTCAGCTATTCTGTGCGCAAAACTTCGAATGTTGAAACCTTACGAACAAACCAGCGAACCGCATGAGCGGAGTGACATGCCATTACTTTTTTAGTTTCCAAGGCCAACATTGCCAAACCGGAGAGGCGTTTCAAGAATTGCTCAAGGACCAGGTGGGTGACGCTGGTGGCTGGGTTTGTGCAAAATGTTCTGTTTTGGCTGCGGCCAAGCAGGCGAAGGTACCGCCAGGACAGCCTGCCAGCAGTGTGGGCACCTCAGAAACTGCAACCAGCACGCGCACAAGTCAACGTCAACGCTTGCAAGGTGCACATGCTTTGGCCTGCCCATGTCGAGGAACATTTGCGTCATGTGACATTCATCACTTCCGTGCAAGTTTCAAAAGCATTGTGGGGAATCTGTGCGTTGCGGTTGCAGGTTGTCCCCTTGACCGAAGATATAGGCCGGCGGGTTCCGCAATGAAATGACGCACAAGTGAGCCAGTCCTTCGCCCGCAGCGCGTAAGTTGTATTTCGCATGTTGTGTGCTTACTTTTGGTGTCGTTCCTGATGAGGGTCCTTCGCTTTTGTTTGCCGGGCGTGATGGGCGTTTTTTGTTCGCATGTGTAGCATTGGGCACCGGTCCCGCCAGGGATGCGTTTAAGGGCACGTGATCCACCCAGTTCATATACGCGCAAATCAAAGTGCAGGCCCTATCAGCATCGAAAACATTTCGCACGGTAGCGGAGCAAGCGTGGTCACTCCATAGGTCCCGACCTCAGCTCTAGGGTGGCCCGGGCCAGGACCCAAGCCTACAGGTTCGGGCCCCATTCCCTTGCTGCGACAACGACGCTTGACGAATTGGGACGAAAGTCGGCAAGTGAGATGAACTCGCCCATTCGCGTCAGTTTCAGCTTGACTGAGGGAGATTCCTTTACCCGGCCTGTGACGCCGCAACGTCCAAGTGGAACGAGTCAATTGTTTGGCCCTATTCAACCGCAAACCCAATGCAGCAGACAAGAAATCAATCTCGAGAAGGCATGGAGGTGGACAGGGTGCGAAAAAGAGGAAATGACACAGGCGGAAAAAGGAAGACTAAGGACAATAAAGGCAAAGGCAAGACAAAGGACGCGAAAGGTAAAGGCAAAGGTAAGCAAGAAGAAAAAAACAAAAGTAATTCAGGAAAGTAAAGGCGGAGAGGGCAAAGGAGAGGGTCCTCGACCTTTGGCAAGTCGGGACACTCTCCATCCACAAGTGCCCAACCGCCATGAGCACTTGTTGGCCTCCTGCAGCAGGGGGGGTTATCGAGGAATTGAGAATGGAGGAGATCACAAAGCGGCCACCTTCATTGTGAAAGATGGACTTGAGCCAGGCAAGCCCCGCCATCCTACAATAAACCATCCAAGCAGCTCCTGTTCTCCCGGTGGTCAGCAGCCACTCTCCTCAACGAGGAATCGTCCCCCCACCACAACATCGATAACAACCTCCCTCCCATCAGCTAACTCCTTGCGGAAACACCGCTGGCACCCCCCCCCCTTCCAGCCGCCTCCCTCCATAACCTTGGATTTTGCACATCTGGAGATTGGCCAGTACAAAAACAGTCTGCCCCAGCACATCTGGCGACGGGCCAATATACAACCGTGCAAAGGGGAAGAGACCAACGCGGCAAAAAAACAAGGCTTTTGGAACATCAACGTTTGAAACCGGCTGAACCTTTGATGGCACGTCTTTAACAAGTGGAGCAAGCTCAGGAGCTTCGGGAGTGTTGAGGTGAACAGGATGCAGCGCAAGAGACAATACAAGAGAAAGAAGAACGCTGCTACTAGTGACAGTCTGTTTTGACCATTGGGATTGATCGCCCATGAGCTACCAACCTTCCCCAGACAAGGAGCGCAGAAGACACCCTTTGCAACAACGAAGACTGGAAGCAATGAGCCCAGATCCAAGTAGAATGAGAAAGGAGGAAGTATAGGAAGAGAGAAGGGTTGAAACAACAGAGGTAGATGGAGAGCTGTACTATCACATGGGCAAGATCGCCGACAGTGAGGAGATAAAGATAGAGGCATGCAAAACCAAGGCAGAAGAGGAGTCACATGACATCTTGGATGCCCTGGACAGGGTTCCTCCAGATCCTCCACAGTGGGCAGGTGACTTCGAAGATCAAGAAGGAAGACGGCAAAGGTTGGGAGTGCTGCTCCCATGGAAGGGAAGGTAGAGGGCAAAGCCAACAATATCAACGCCAGGTGCACCGCAACAATTTTTTGAAACGTTCAAGGATGGTTGCCCGGGAGTAGACGCAACAGATAGAAGAGATGATGTCCATAGCCCAGCAAGTGGAGGACGGCTTGAGATTACTCCCGGTGCTCCATCTGTTGACGAAGGGGCCCGGCGCTGCGAACCACACGATGCCGCAGATGGGGAGAGTGGCGGACCAGTTTTTATTTTAAGGGCGCTGGATGTGAATGTGCAGGATGTGTTCCCTCAGGGCCGCAAGGTGAGCACACAGAGCGGGCACTTTGAGAAGAGCACTCTTCGAAGCCAACGAGTTGGGGCCAAGGCATGGTTGTAGTTATAGTGTTTTGTGCAGACAAACTTGAAAGGAGAGGGAAAATTGATGTTACTGAGCCACATTGACGATGTTATGCTCACTGGAGATGAGGAGTGCATCACAATGGAATTCCTCCCAGAGTTTGAGGTGCCTACGGCGGCAACACCACAGGGACTCGTTTCAATTTGTCACAGGCCTATGAGCGTACAGAAATGGGTGTGCTGGAAACATGGCGGAACTCAACGAGGAAGAGATGGGGAAATCTACAGATCACTGGCGGGCTGTGGGATATGTCGATTGGACATCCCCCATGCAGCCCAGGAGTTGGCAGCAGCGTGGCGTGACCTACAATTTCGAGCAGGCAACTGTGAAGTTGGTTGGCTACCTCAATACAGTGTCCTGGAATTGCATGCTCCTCGGCATGGGCGTGCAACAAGAACCGCAAAGGGCAGGCTACTTCACCCCGGCCGCCCTTCACATAATCAACAATGCGGTGGTTTACGCAAACTCAAGAAAAGAGCTCAAACGAGCGTTGGCTTGAGTTCAGCAGAGGTGGAGGTTGAATGCTCATGTGTCAGCAGCACCTCAAGAAGTATCGAGGTCATCCATCATTGTTTGGTGGATAACGCAGCCGCAAGAAGGGTCCTGGGAAGTTGAAACGCATTGCAGTGGATTCAGGATCTTGTGGCGCAGGAGGAGCTGACAGTTAAAGCCCTCGGCGCCAAGCCTCTGTCAGAGAGCCGGATGTGGATCCAATGATCCGATTTGAATGTACGGCCGCTGTGGCACCTTGTGCCGTGCCCCGAAAGAGCTGGCGTGTGCGCCGCCGCGGGCTTCAAGACTTCTACGCCCGCTTTGGGCACGTTCCCCTCCGCTAGTGGTTTGTCTTGCGCAAGGCAAGGCACAAGCCTAAGTGGAAAAAACCTACATAATATGAAACCAGGTGTGGGTAGTATGCAAAGGTGTTTCCAGAGCCTGAAGTTGCAAGTCTCAAACGTTCTCAAAGTTGCAAGTCTAAACTTGACAAAGTACAAATGCGCCGCGTGTGACTTCCAAGTCGAACGGATGCAAAGGCCAGTTCTGTTTAGGCCCAGAGTCATCATGTTTTGTCGCGCGTCCCGAGTTGGTGTCACAGACTAATGCCAGTCCCTGCGCACATCTTCAAAACAACATTTCCAAAAATGAAGGGATTTGAGCATGCCGAAGGGCCCTCTCATTCCATGGGCAGGAACGCAGACGGACGGACGCACGGACAGAGGGACGGACGGATGGAAAGGTGGATGGATGGATTGATGGACGGGTGGACACACAAGCCCTGACTATGATAAAAGCAGTTGCACCAAAGCACGGTAAAACTATGACAGCCACACTTGGCTCGGCCCAAGAAGTGCTTAAGTTCTTGTGACGCTTTTGTGTAGGAGGCCGGGCCACATGTGTCAATGCAAGGTGGTTGGCTGCCATCATCTTTTCATAAGAAGTTGGCCGCGGAGGCAGTTCGTGGATGGTGCCTTGGCAGAATGTGCTGTCAGCAGAATTGATTTAGCGGCTGGTGTCACCTCCGGACCCTCGTTGCAGAATTGTGTGCACTGCCCCTGGCTCTACTGACAGATGAACTCGAATAAAATAGACAACGTTTGTCATGTTGTCACTCACGTCCTGCTTGCCATTTGCGCAACATTGGCTTCAAGTAAAACATTGAAACGGTATACAAAACTTTTTTAAACTTGCATATTGATTGTGCAATGGTCAATATGTAACAAAAATGCAAGAACATTGCTGAAACAGTCGGAGCCATGTGCATGTGCTGCCGATGGTGGGGCCATGTTCTCGGCCGTGTTTTCTGACGAACTGGGTGAAGATTACAATGGGGCCCTGTCTGTGGTAGCGTCCAGGCATGGACCACGGTTCGGTTGTATGTTGCGCAAAGCGTTTACCTAATCTATTCTGGAACTATGGCCCTGGTCCTTTGAAGCAGGGAATTTTGCGGTTTTCGAGGCGGCTTCTCCGTGAACAAGCAGCCCTCCATCGGGAAGGCTTGGAATTGCAGGCCCCTCCCCGAGAAGGATCCGAGAAGTATGATTTGCGGATGCGTGTCATTGAGTGATGTGCATCCATGCTTAACGCAGCATTGCCGTTTTGGGTTTGGAACTGAGGGTGTTTTTCACCACTTCGATGAAGCCAACCCCCACAAGGCGCCTCGCCTAACAAGTTCTGAAAAGAGCCGTTTGCCCGATTACAAAACAGTTGGCAAACAGCATGCTGCACAGTTCGTGAAACAGTCACAAAGTTGTCACAAGGAAGGCTTGAGTGAAGGATTTTTTTGACGATTGAAAAAGTAGCCTTTTGTGAGGCTGCTGCCGTGGTGCTGGGCCCGGATGAGACGCCGTATGCCCGCTGCCCTTTTTTGTTCGAGTTCACCTTTCCGACTCTCGCACTACTTTCGGACATGTTCGTTGTTGCTCCCTTTGCTGCTTTCTTGCTCCGGCATTTTGCTGAGGAACACTTATCCTATGAAACCTCCTCATGCCAAGCTTTTGACTCGGGTGTCGTGAATGCATCGACCCGTGTGTTTTTATAGGGCCTCACTGGTTACCATGAGGGCGCTGCATGTGTGGATGGCCTTTTGCGAAATGATAGCCGATGACAGGCTGCCAAACCAAGGACGGGCGGGTGAGATTTAATCCGAACCTATACGTGAATGGGAAGGCGAGAAGTGTATGGTCAGTCCTTCACTGAGTTTTTGTTTTGACATGACCAGGTTTGCCTTTCCATCCTGGGTACTTGGGCTGGGCCTTCTTGGACGTCACTCAGTACATTTCGAACTGTTTTGCCCCCTGTCTTATATACGGTCTCCTGTTCTTGCTGCCTGATAAAGCCCTCGAACAATTCTTGTCGTTTTCCCAACGGGTCGCAGTGGCGCATGACATGCGAGAGGAGAATCTGAAGTTTTAGACATACAACACCCCTTCCAAACAGGCTCCATTCACGTTGGCCTTCGGGCTTAGTTAGCGACAGTGCTGAAGTATCTGAATGCCTTTTCCTCTGCGGATCTGCAGATTGCAATTTTGCTTGTTGGTCATGCTGCGCACTTTGCAGCGCACTTGGCTGCTCACTGCACGCACACGCATATATTATATTTTCTTTTGTTCTTCCCTTCCCATGCATGAACAATCCCACAGCGGACATGACAAAAGCCCGAGCTCCGCCCAGGATTTCGATTCAATCCCTCCTTTGTTCCAATCCACTACAGAACGAGCCGGGGCACGAGCATGAGACGAGCAGTGACTGTGATTTGTATGCAGTCACTTGGTGTGTGGGAGCAATGTGAAAGTCATTTTTCCATTGGTATGTTTAACATGTTTAGTGTTGAACGATGTCCTGGTTCTTATGTTTCGGTTCTGTTCCAGTTTAAAACCCAACTGGTCAAGCAATCCTTTGCCTTGAGGCAATGGTACGCTATGAGAGCGTGGCTATTGCAGCGCTGCAAGTGGGCAAAACTTTACCACCTTGCTTCGAGCCATTGCGAGTTGCTTCCTTAGTTGCGGGGTCGCCTACTGGTAGATGCCTATTGAACGCACACAGATTTTTGTGGAGGCACTCCTTGGTGGCATCTTCCTGTGCAACTATTCAGCAGCTGGCCTGAGCACGTATTTAATCCGGAAGCCTTCCGCCTGCTTGGGCTGTTTAGACTTCCTGCCGGGGTGTTTGACCAGCTGAATGAGGTCTACTGTGAGATGCTCGCAGGGTTCGTCACATGTGAGGGCCGCTTGGACAGGCGAGCCCACAATCAACTGGATCGAAGACATGTGAGATTTGTCAATTTCAAAGGGCTCCTGGACAATGTCGGGCACGTAATGGGCTTTGGACAAGTCTGGTCCAAGTGGCTGCAAGACATGACTTTAATTTGTGCCTGTGAAGGTGAGCTGATGAATTATGTCAGTTGTTGGTTTGGTGATCAGGGTTTACGAAGGTCCTTGCATGAAGGAGTTATATATATATATATATAGGTTGACGGTGTTGGTTCTCGGGACTTTGTTGCTTGTGTGGTGCGCTATATGGCGATAGCAAGCAGCAAGGGTCCTTTGTTGTGGCACTGCTTGTCAGAGGTATTGAGGTGTGACTTCTTGATTACTTTTCAGGCTTTGGTTTAAGACAGTTGATTCTTTGCAGAATTAGGCAATGTGGAGCATGGCACTGCCGTAGTATTCAATAGTCACTTCCAGCTTTGCAGATCGCCGTGTTTGCTTTGGTTTCAGACTTGCTTCAGGTGTCCATTGTATGGCTTCGTGACCAAGTATGCGCCAAGACTTGTGCGCCAACAATTGGACAGTTTGCAGGCGACAAAGCATTGAGCTTGAGCCTTTAAGTTCATGACCCATGATGGAACAGAGGAACGGGAGGTGGAAAGCTTCTTGCATTCTTCTTCGAGGCCACCCTCCTGACTCAACCAGAAGCGGTGCAAATGGCAGATGAGCTACAACATCAAGCTCCATACATACACACAGATCATTCAAAAGACACATGAACTGCTGATGTTTGCTTTTTCGGCCACTCCCATCCAGCTGGCTGAAAGATCGCAGCCGAGGCTTTAGCACTCTGCATGCCAGAAGCGTCATCAGAAGAGTTGCCTACAGGATCTGGATCAGAAGCTTCGCAACCACTACGGCCAACCCATGTAGCGCATGGCCTGTGGCGAGTTGGCCCGGGCGCTCGAAGATTTCTTCGACGTTGTTGCTTTCTGAGCCTCGTAACTGCTGGAGTTAGTGCCGCAGTTGGTGTGGCTATTTCCTTTGCAGGGCCTCCTGGTCGAACTTTGTGGGGGAGTTTTTCGATGTTATTCTAACTCTTTTTTTTGTTGGATTTTCTGTCATTTCTTCATCGCATTTTTGCTTCGTTGTTTCGGTGTATGGCTAAATATACAATAGCCTATATAAATGAGCACGCAACAAAGAGCCCTATATAGGATGTTTTAATATGTTCTATATATATAATTATATATATATACACGTTCTGGAATCTTGCTACTACTCCGGTGATGCTTTTTTTTTGGGCTCTGGTAGGCGGAATTGTGCCAAGGTCTTCTTTCCACGCACTGGAGTAGCTCAGTTTCACTGCTCAACAGGAGAAAGGTTGAAGAAAAGACACGGCCGTGTTTGGCTCCTGCAGGTTTTTTGCAGCCATGGCCGCTTGCTTGTTAAAGCTTCGTTCGCTGGCTTGCCAGCCTGAGACTCTGACACCCCAGGCGAAACTTCCGCGATTCCATTGGTCCTGGGCTGCCTCGCAGTCATGAGTTGTACAGGCGTGACGGGCCAGTGATACCTGAACCAGCTCAGAAGCTACAAAGCCAGACACGAGACTGCGCAGGCAGTTGTCGCAGAAGCACGCCGGAGCTTTGAACGATGCCTTCTTCCACTATCAGCATCTCAGCTCCAGTCAGCATGCCTCAATGGGAGATATGGGAGGCTCCCACTTTTTGGATCAAGCAATGCATACACTTGAACGTGAACATTTTAACAAGATGGTCAAGTCAAAGCGCACTCATTGACATCTCAGGTCCCCAAAGGTCCTTGTGAAAAGTGGTTAGAAATGCAGCCTCAACGTAATTGATATTGATCGGCTGCAAATGCTTCAAATTCTTTTAGGAATGGAGGCACAGGTTGATATTGGGAGATTATGCTTATGTGTATATATATATATATTTAAGTATTATATTTATGCATTGATGCACATATGCATATCCTATCTATCTATCTATCTATCTATACTAGGCTGAAATGACAAAGGACTTGTGAAAACTACCTCCAAATTGCGGTGGCTAAGTCATGAAGGTTTAGCCTACCCCCCACAAGTATTTATGTCATGAAGCAAAGGCTTGGAAAAACCTCAAAATCAGAGATGCCAGAGGTTGTCACCAAAGATCCTAAAAACAGTTGATTTTATATTGACAAGCATCATGACATAAGACTTTGGTATCTAAACAATGAATAAACCATCGAGAGATAGGAATTTGAGAGCAAAAAAGCACAAAGGCAGACTTAAATGAGATAGTAATGTGTTTTTAATGAGACAGGACAGGATTCCTAAGTCCCAATTGGCCTAAGTCATCTCACCCTAATCTTCCAGGAGCATGCCCCCCACCAACCCCCCCCCCCCCAAAAAAAAAAAAAAATACTCAGGACCAGGTCAACAAGGCCTATGTCATGAGTGTGTGCCAATGAAATTGCAAATTTAACATTTGTACATGACTTAGGACTTGCCCTGGGAAAGTTGTATGTCATTTCGACCCAATTGGCCTAAGTCGTCATCTCACCCTAGTATATATACCTATCTCAAGCAGTCAGTTGTCAGTGGCCAACCCCAAATGCTTTATGGAAGGCTACAAAATCCACTTTGTTCCGGATGGCAAGTGTAAAGGTACAATGCAAGAGATCTATCGTTGCTAGTTGGTCTTCCAGCTTTTTCAGCCCAGGAAACGGCTTTTCGAGGCAAGACGAAGCGCAGAAGATTACATAGACGGACCACAGAAGTAGACATCCATTTAGCATCCAATAAGATTATGACCTTCCCGTCTTGAGGCCGAAGGGGACTTTGACAGAGCCTATTCCTTGGACTTTCACAGCAACGGTGGAAGTCACTATATAGTTGTGTGCATTCTGATTTTGAAGTTTTGAGGCTATGTCGCCCGACTTCGAGCCGGGATCATAAAATTTTGCGTGTGCGTGGTGGCTTCCGAAGCTGTTGGCTTCACTGTTGCCTCGGCCCGTGTTTTATGTTCAGGACGAGCACCCCCCCACCGGATGCCAATTCCTCCTGGCCAGACATGCAACTCGACAACATAACCAATGCATTTTTTTTTCCTTCTTGCTTGCTGCTAGGAACGCGCTTCCTGAATACGGGAAGTCAGAACCACAGTGTGAGAGTGGGTTTCTATTTTGCTGCTGTGGTGACCATGGTGCTTCTTGCTTGTGAGGGGTTGCCACGTTTTTGCACGGCAGATGTTGCATGAGCTGGTATATATTTCTTCAACACAAGATAAGGCTTCGCAAAATTGTCGAGAGGTTCAGCCGGAGGTGCGTTTGCACTAGTAGCCGGGTGGTTGTGGAGAGTCACTTTGTAGACTTTGCTCTTTCTTGTTGAAGCATGATTGTATCCGTCATCGACTCAGTTTGAATGGCTTGAGACACTTGCCAGGAACACTCAAATGTCACAACATGCGCGCAGTACTTCTATTGCTATTGCTGTTGTATTTGAACCAGACAGTCCGTTTCTTTCGGGGAACATGGGTAGCCATCATGCCAGCTTCCTGGCTTGCCATGGATGGCCGGAGCGACAAAGGCCTTACTGGCATGCCTGTACCTACGCGGCCGGATTGCAGTTTTTGTCCTTCGTGGTGACCCAGGACCAAAAAGACATTTCTGTCATTTTTGTTACATTTCCTGACAATGTCTTGTTTAGCTACCAGCTACCCTTTAAATTAAGCCCATTAAGCGTGTGTTGAGTAGGGGCTGGATGTGGTTGATTTCGCGGTCGCACAAAGCTCCAGAACCCGAGACAAGCTATGAGTACAATAATTTTTAAGTGAAACCTGCAGCCCTCCATGTCTCTGCTTTTAGGCACTTTAGGTGCTGCCTTGCTAGCCTGTAGTTGCATGATCTTGTTTTGGCCTCCCTGCAACCGCTCACCGGTCACGACCTGCTGGCTCCGAAAGTGGTGGATGCTAAATGCACATGCCATGTTTCGCTCTTTTCTGTTGGGGCACGCAAACACGGCCAAAGATTGACAGGACACAGGCAAGGGTGCACAACTTAGTCGCAGTATGTATCAAGTGAGGCCTCATGTCTCGCTCTGAGGCTCACATTCAGCTGAATTTGTGGCTGTAACGGGATGTCATGGGTTCAGAGCCCAAATGCAACAGAGAGAAAGATTTTGGATGCCAGGATGTCCAGCAATGAGCTATGCCAGCTATGCCAGACCTTTCGGATTTGACCCTCTTTGATGTGTCTCGGGTCATTTGGTAATTGCAGAAACTTTGTGGTGCTCATTTCCTGATGAAGCGAAATGCTGCGCACCAAGGAGAAACCATCTCTCGGGTTGGAAGCTTCAGGGCCAAGGAGTCCTCTAGCTGCCGAAGCTGAAGGGCCAATTTCATCTGAAAGTTCACCTGAGGCAGGAAATCTTTCATTTTCTTTCCCATCGCTCGTAGGTTGCAGGCCATCGCTAGTAGGTTGGAGGCCATCGCTCTTAGGTTGGAGGCCATCGCCCTTAGGTCCTAGGTTGAAGGCCAGAAATCTTTCATTCCCTTTCCGTCAACTTGTCAGTTCAGATGACCTAAGCATGAGCTAATGATGGTTGGGTGGTGTTTTACGATGTGAGGACAGTGATGGGGATGATGGTCTTGTCGAGTTCTTCCCCGATTCTGCACCCTCACAAGCTAGGAGGCGAAGCTCGTGCCTTGGTCTAAACTACTTTTCTTGTACATTTGGATTTTGAGCATTTTACAGCTGAGGGGGCACCTAAATTTTGTTGATCAGGCTGGCTCTGTGATTTGTGGGCGGGGCCAATGACTACCCGTAGGGCATAGCAGGGCATAGCACGCGCAGCGCAGGTTTCTGATGGCATCGGGTCTTACCTTGCTCTTTTCGGCAAGCAGAAGGTGAACAACACAGTCTACAATCGGTTGTTGGCTCAGAATTTATTTCGATCAAAAACGTTGGAGAAGCTTTCAGAGGTGGCAGGGGCTCAGCTGAACTTGGCTGCAGGTCTGCAGGTTCTGAATCTGCAAGGCCTCCTGCGAACTGTTGCTGCTGATTTTCATTCTCGGCAGAGAGGGGAGACCCTTTACATCATTTTGTGTTTTGTGGCTCAATGGCTCAGGGGTCGATTGAGGCAAGAGTCGTGTGTTTGTTTCGTTCATTGATGTGCTCCGTCCTGTCAGGTGGAGCAAGTGTCTTGAGAAGTTCTCCAACTGGTTTGGCAAGAGCTTGGCTTTTGTGCCAAGAGCCACGGAGGACACTGCTTGCTGGTGAGGCTTGAGTCTCCTTTTGCGCGCTTGTGTGTCTGCTCTGTTTAAAAAAGGATGTGCACTGCAGCCACTTGGACTGTGAGCGCTACCTGCTCGCCAGGATAGTTGTCAGATCGGTCTGAAGCGGCCATGTCAGGGACGGTCATCAGAGAAGCTAGGTGATTTGGCTATGATCTGGAAGCTAGATGAAGCTAGGTGGTTTCTAAACGCAGCTTGACATTGTTGCTTACCTGAACGAGCCAAGGACCATGTGTGCCGCCTGCAGACCTGGAGTTTGCCACTGGGCTCGCCTTGGCTCTTTTCGCATTTTAGGCTCGACGCTATATACCTCCTCGTAAAACAAAAAGCTTCAGAGTCGAGAAATCAGAGTACGCACATTATACTGGCGGTATGCTCAGTCGCCTGGTGGTTTTGTTGCGTTTTTTGAAGATCCTTGTGGTTTTGTGGCATTTTTCAAGATGGGTGGGTTGGTGGGTGGCTGGGTGGGTGGGTTGGGGGGGGGTAATGACGTTTGTTTCTCACGAGCTTTCCCTATTGATGTCAGGTACAGGTATAGATTGTTATATAGACTATAGACCATCAAGTTTTGCAGTATTTCCTTTTCGCAGACATAAACATTGAACATGAATCCACTGGCTCAGACAGTGCTCTTTGCTGGCCACAGGCCACTTAATCACGAAAGCTAGCACCAGCTAGCTGGAGTTGTCCTTGCTTTAGCGAGTGAGGGGCTGGAATCCTCGAGATCGCCGCATCACGTGAAAACTTCATATGTAGGGGGGATCCACTTTGGTTTAACTCCTCCGGGATGCGGTGCAACAGATTCAACAAGCTCACAGGTTCATGACATCGACATTGATAGAAGAAGCCAAGTAAATCATGCAAGCAGCTTTGTTTTGCCTCTGGGACACCTCTTGGGCACCTCTTATGGCATCCACTTTGGTTCAACTCCTCCGTGGGATACGGTGCCGATCGGGGACTTCAATTCTAAGGTTGGCTGTGTCATTGCTGTTTGTGTGTCTCACATGTTCACAACGTTTTACCTCATGAGCATTTGCCTCAATCCGCTTGATGTCCCACCAGTCCGGATGCACCCCTGCTAGCTTTCGTCACCTACGGCCTCAAGTTGCCTGGGGTTGATTGCCATCAAGTGTCACTCTACAATAAAGAGTTCACGTGTGAGACTACAGAAGTGAAAGAGTTTCCCACAAAGCTTACAGTAGAGGAGTTGCAGGCACACATAAGATAGATTGGGAGTGGTTGCAAATCAAGTACTGCCCTTCCTGTTTCACAATCTTCATCGGAAGTCCAAGAGAGGGGGTGACTCGGATGCAAATCCACGGTTGAAACTCCGAGTGTGCTGGTACATGTGCCGAAGGACTCTGACAGGAAAGAATCCTGACAACGTACTGAGTGCACTCGGAAAGCTGGCATCTCGTCGCTTTCAGGCATGTGCGGAATACTAGGCGATAATGTACACACGAAGCAGAAGAAGCGCCGTGACCATATAGCTTGAACCCAGCTTTGCTTTTCCTTTTGGAATCGTTGTGGTTTTGTTGTTGTCATGATAGTGGCCCCACCAGCACGTACAGGTGCAAAAACGCGGACAGCATTGCGTTCTAAAGCCTGCGAGTCATACGCCGGGCTATGAGAGTGCTTCTGCATGCTTTAGGCCAGGAGGTTTCCTTGATTCAAAATCATCTGCGAGGTTCGAGCAATTCTAATCTTCAAGGCGGGGGCGCAACTCAGGCATTCGAATCCACCCACAGTCCCCTTGGTTTCAGTCCATCGGATCACAGCTTCATCAGTCTGTCCTCAAGGTTGCCCATACCTACTTGTCCGTTGATTTCATTGTGCCCCAGCAGATAGGGCGTAAGAATTTCACACAGCCGACTACACTACAGCTGGCACATGTCCAAGAAGTGGTCGTTTTCCAAGTTCCGGAAGTGCCTTCTCCAAGGCCCATCCTTGGCTAAAAGAGTTTCGTGTCATTCTCAGACAGGAGGCAAAGCCTTAGTTGACTCATTGTCATAGTGACACTGTACTAGAGCCATCTCTGGGTTCTCAGCCCCCTCAAGGGCTTTGCGAACGGCAGACCTTGCATGTGCTTGTCACCAATTCTCTTTGCTTTCGGACTGGCCTGGCCGAGAAACAAGTCATTGACCCCCGTGCCTGTTGCCTGCTTGTCTTCAAGCTGCAGCTTTGAAAGGGTCTTCCTTCGAAGCCTGAAGCCATTTCTCTGGAGAATGTTGTTCGGTAAGGGATAGCACGCTCAGTCACGCAGACTTTGACCTTGCCTTCCAATTTGTTTTCGTCTCCATGGCTCTGGGTTGCATGTTGTCTCCTACCATTTGTTGCGGTTAGTCTTGTTTGTAAGAACTATATACGAGAGTCCGTTTCTTGAACTACAATTGTCTCTGGCAAGTTTGCAGCTGGCCTAAACTTGTGTTTTTGCAGAATCCTGTCGATTCTAAATTCCGGGCATGTCTGCTCAAACAAGTCACAGTGCACCTCCGAGGAACACTTCCCAGGACCAGATGGTCAGCCCAGGCTGTCTTTCTCTGCATCGCTCCTAGGCACAATGGAATTGCATTCTCGGAACCTACCTTTCATCAGAACCTGCCTATGGTCGCAAGGTTTGAGTCCGGCAACCTGACTTTAGCCCAGTGTGATGGCCCCAACCTTTATATCCTGGCAGCTCCTCGGACAATGAAAAACACTTAAGCCTTCAGATCAATTTTGAGATCCTGCATCAGTAATTCTGAGGTGGATGTTGATGTCCATACCGACGGCTATACGCAGTGGTTCTACTTTGCCGTGCGAGGGGGTAAGGTGGGTATGGAGGTGACATTTCGCTTGGTGAACATGGCCAAGTCCAGCTCTCTTTTTGGCACCTCGGAGCTCCGCTAAGCCAGTTCGAAATAGATCTATTTTTTACCTTTTAGCCCGGTGGGGTAGGCCGCGAGTAGAGGTAGGTAGCTAGTAGTATATAGCTAGGTAGCTAGTAGCTAGGTAGCTACTAACTACTGGACGCGGGATAGCTTGCGCTTCCTTGAAGAAGCGCTTGCACTATTCATTTGGTTCCTAGATTTTTAGGGAAAACTTAAGCCAAATTGTCCAATGTGCGGGCCCAGGTGACAAAGGCATGCGGCCCGTAGTTTGGAGCGAGAAATCTGGCAGAGGGTGGGAGCGTGGAGGTAGCCAAGCTGCTTAGCTGTGAGTGTGCAAGACTATGTGATTATGTGATTGTCCAAGCTTCGATCTTTACATCCTGCACTCTTTGCAAGTATCCAAGCAAAGGTCCCCGCCAAAGTGATTTGCACCCCTGGACCCTTTCCGCAGACATCAACAATTGCAACAGCGCGGAAGCACGGAAACAGACATGTCAGATTAATGGTGCATAAACGAGCCTTAATCCCTGATGTGCAAATGGGGCGCAAGGTCCCTGACCTGACTAAGCACGTTGTGTTGCCGCGCCAGTTCTTTCTTTATGTGTGGCATTTGTAATTTCTCTTAAAGATTTCAAGTTGTTTGGGGTTGACTATAGCAGTTGACTCATTCTGTTTGTCCCGAGCTGAGGTTAGCTACTCAAAGTCCACTGATGAGGATGTCAAGGGAGCAGGTCTATTGTGGCTCGACTTATGTCGTTCCACTTTGTTGTGATCCACTTGCATTTGTGGACCATATAAAGGTCTCGGCTGATCGGAGAGCGGATGGACCTAAGATTGAGCTATGCGAAGCACTTGATACGCCATATTGTGTGCACGTTGAGTGGATTGTGCGGTGCCATTTTGGGCCGGTGTTGGGGCCGGGGCTAGTTTCAACTTTGGATGTTACTTTGTAGCAGATGTTGGGCCTGTCAGGGCGCTATTGTTGAGCCATGTAAAGCCAATGTTCAACGCAAATGTTGAGCCGATGTGATGGGGACCCTGGAGCCATGAAGCGCCTTTGGGCCCATGCTGAGATTATGGTAGTAGCTACTTGCTCCTAGTAGTACGGCCAGGAGCCCCTAGTAGCGTCCTTGCTCATAGTGGCGATGCCAGGAGCCCCTAGTAGGGTCCTCTTGTTCCTAGTATATTTTGAGCCTGGTAATGTATTTTTTGACCATGCACAAACAGTTCGAAAAGACGGTGAAGCACACGCATGACTTGGAAGGTCTCGGTCTCATGTGCCCATCTATGGCCAGTTGACCGTATGTTTAGCTAGTTATATGTTGAACCAACGTTATATAAGCCTATGTTGGGCCTTGTGAGACCTATGTGTACGTGTGTGTATATATTTAGGTTATATTATATATACATGTCCACTTGGGCTTTTTATCAACTTTTGCGACCTTCGCGGTGTTTTCTTCAAAGAGATCCGTTTATGGTCTCAGTGGTGCCACTGTCAGGAGCGGGCGGAAAGTGTGGTTCACATTGTCATTCAACTACACCTTCGAACACGATGAGGACACCGTATTCTTTGCGTGCCATGGCAGCCCTTCGCTCATGGTCAGACAGTCACAGGACTGTAGGTGGAAGTGCAATTGTGCCAAGGTACCACTATCCGTACACGTACAGTCATCTTCGTGGCTTCCTTGATTGCTTGGCTGATCATCCATACTCTGGGACACTATTCAGCAGGAGGGTGTGCCTTGGCCAGCTTGTGTAGAGTGTAGACGGTGTAGGCATTGTTGAGATTGGTTGTATGCAATTTGCAATTTTGTTGAGATGCCCGCGAAAGGCTTTGCTACACCATAGGACGGGGAATGTAAGGTTTCTTTAAACCAGGCAAGAAAGTCACACCAGTTTCGACACGACTCGTTTCAACCTTCTCCGAAAATTGCAGAGAAGCACGCCAAGACATGCTAGGAGGTTTGCCTTGCGAAGTGCTTGATGTGGACGAAGGTTCTTCCAGTTCTCGGCAAGGCCAGCTACCCACATGCAAGTACTTGTGTAGGCAAGGGGTGCCTTCATTCATGGCAGGTGTCGCTGTCATGACGGCAAGAGTTCATCCAGGAGAGTCTAATGCTTCCTGGATGATGATGCTTGGCTGTACACGAGAAGCTTGCATGCTCACCTAAAGAAAGATGTGGCGAGCCGCAGTGCCTGAAAACCCTATATACATATATGCCGAGGCACGGCTTCATTTCTTTTTTGCTCTCCCCAGCGCCTGAAGCGAAAGCACTGCGGCAGGCAGGTTCGTGTTGCGATGCGCAGTTGGAATCCGCAATGGCATGAACAGATGCGGTTAGCTTGAACTAGTAGCAAAGGGCATCGCTACTAGGAGCAAGGACGCTACTAGTGGCTCCTGGCCTTACCACTGGTAGTAAGAAGCTACTAGTAGCGTTCTTGCTACTAGTAGCACTCTCCTCGCAGTGCTTTGGTGAAGCATTGTAGGCATTCAAGTGGCTGATCGTGCCAATGTTGAATCCTGACGGAGTGGTGCGTGGATGCTATCGATGCGGTAGGGGTCTTGGATTGGACTGTTGTTCTTTGGTTTCTACATGGTTTGATGCTGAGGGCTTGCCGGCACAGACTTGAACCGATGCCTCTCTGAAATTAATGTGCGGCGCGCTATGATAGTGGCTTTGGCTTGCGCTGCAAGATGTAAGTGTAGCAGGGGTTGAACTTCATGTCTCCCAGCTTGCCGTATAGAAGGCATTGCAGTAGCTGAGTTGTGGCGATCCAGCCCCGGCTAACTAATTATGCTTGAGTTGGTTGCTGCGACGGAGAGTTGCTTCACGCTCAGTATGCTCTAGCTTGGGCTGTCATTAGCTGTAATGCCAGGGTTTGTGGACTGGGACTTTCGTAGAGGGCTTTTTCCTTGTGGGTTACATCAGTCATTGGCTTCCGCATGTGGCTGCTAGGTGCTTCCAAGCAAGAGATCTCGAACCTTCTCGGTGTTCCGTGAGATGTCCATCCACAGGGTCCCGAAATCTCTTCCGCTAGTGACTAGTGAAACAATAGTGAAGTAAGTAAGCCATGTCATGGGGCACTGAACGCAGCTGGTTTCGGCCGCGCACTGTGCTCAGGAGTGTACACCAGCCCAAACAAGATCTTACACCCTGAGATATACCACTTGAAGGAAGCCATGAAGAGTGCTGGCAGCAACGTAGAGCTTTTCATTGATTCTCAGCAGCATCGCTATGTATGGTTCGCATCTCTATGTATGGTAGCAGAAAGGAAGCAAACTGGAAATTGAAATAACTATCTCAAAAGGAGACCCAATCTGGAGGATTTCCATGACATTTTGTGGGTTGCATCCAGACGTCTGTTAAATCAATGCACTTTATAAGTGTAACAGATCACTGTTGCAACTGTTGTGTACTGTTGGATGCTATAGTAGTGAGATAGCAGATGTGTGCAAGCGCCATGTGTTCCTTCGACCATGCGACCCTGTGGGAGTTAAGTTTCCCTAGTCTAGGAACCAAAACATTAGTCTGAGCGCTTCTTCAAGGAAGCTCCCCCCCGCCTGAGGCGGGAGGAGCTTCCTTGAAGAAGCATGAGCAATCCTGCGTCCATGCAAGTAGCTTAAGTAAGGTAGTAGCTACTCTGCTAGCGCCTCTTCTCGTCCTACCCCCCCACCGCGGGCTAAAAAAAGAAAAGGAAGGCAAGGCCTCGTTAAACAGGTCCCTTCCTTTGTTCATCTCTAAATGTTTTAAAGATGGCTGTTTGCGAAGAACCGAGGATCTTCATGGACACTCAAAGAAGGAAGGCATTTTCTTTTACGGAGGAAAAACTGAAGACTGGAACCGACAGTGTGACATCCAGTTGCTGCCGAGGCCTGGCCCGAAGCTTCAATGTTCTTTGTCTAGCTTTTCGAGTATGACTAGTATGCAACAGTGATACGTAAGGTGAGGCAAATGCCATGGGATTGGATAGCAAAGATTGATAGAGAAGCTCCTGCATGGTTTTGCATATGCTGGACGTTTCCAAGCTCTTATGTCATTCTAGGCACAAAAGGCACGACTTACAACCGGCAATCCTAACGTTAAGTTTCCTGAAAAATCTAAGAACCAAATCATTAGCGGAGCTATCCTGCGTCCATATGAAGTAGCTAGAAGCTTTCTTCCCTTACTTGATTAAGTAGGCGCCTAAATACATTAAGTAGGAGTGGAGGAGAAAAAACTAAAGGACTGAAACACTGGCTTTGAAGGCTCGGAGTTCGCCAGCTTGTTTCGCTCTTGGAGAGCTCGCTTGTCAATGTCTCCCTTGTCTCTCTTGATGGCACGATCTTTGAAGGTGAGGCCTTACCCTCCCTCATCTCACTACACTATACCTCCTTTGGAATCAGATCGTTGAGACTGATTGGACTCATTTGCCTTGCTCATCTCGCATTATGTCTCACATATTCTTGTGTCGCTTCACCACATCTTGCTTCGGTCCTTTTTGATTGATGCTTGGAATGACCCAGCTGGATTGAGAAATTGCAAGCCAATTGGTTCAGAGGTAGCTCGTGGGTCGCTGGTCAGGTGGTCAGGCGGCCAGCTAGCTGGGTAAGCGGCAAGCGGCGATAGTTCCCGACGCAGTGTTGTGCTGTTAAGTGATGCCGTAGAGGCCCTTGCATACTTTAAATGCAGCCAATTGTGATGCCAACGAACAACACAGAACTCGTTGTGGGAGGTGCGACCCTCTAACTTGCTACCTCTGTTGTCAAGGGGTTCATTCATTCATGTACTTACCGCTCATGTTTTTTCACTGAACAATGTGCCAGTGAAGAGCACAGCTTTGACAAGTCCACCAGAGCAGCTTCAGGAACATCATGACCAATGATTTGCTCTTTGCAATGCATACACCACGTTGACGCACCATTCCAGCTTTAGCCCTTTGAGCTAATAACATTTTCATGCTGTTGCCGTGGGCACAGGCTTTGCTGCTTGGGCTCTTCCGACTTTAAGTGGAACCAGCTCCCTTGTGGCAAACCAGCTTGCTGTGAGCTTGCGGAAAGGTTGCGTGGATGTGCCAGCTGCAAAAATGCTGCTTTGAACACCGGCAGTTACCTTCAGGTGCTCCTTCAATTTGAACGAATCCAAGATGTCCACCGCACGATTGGTGAGTTTTCTGCAACTCCGAGTTCAGAGAGCATATGTAGCCTCTTGTCTTGAACTTTGAGCCAAACTTGGATTACAATGGATTACGTGCCTCAGTGGTTTTGCGTGGCTGCTGTCAGCCAACAGATGAGTGCCTTGTCAAGGTGGAGGCCTCTTTTGCAGGGAGTGGAGAAAGCGTGAGGAGAGATGTTGAGGCCGAGGTGTGCGGCTAGTGTTTATTTATGTACTATTTCAATGTCAGCGCCTGCTGCCTTGATGGCAAGTAGTAGTGCATTTCAAGTGTTGGTTAGTGATGCACTGAGCTGCCAAATCTGCCACAAGATTGAGTTTGATTCGCATCCCTTGCCACCAAATCTCTTTGCATGACCAGGCCTCAGACACTGATCCCGGAGAAGAGGGGGAAGCTGTGGAAGGTGCTGCAATGTTTGAGGGGTCCCAGGGTGTCGTGCAGGAAGCAGCGACCTTGCTCTTGCAACAACTTGTGCCCCAGCGGCATTGGTGCAATGCACAGGGTGACACTGTGATGTTGGATCAAGACGTGGAGTCTTGTTCTGCCCGGTCTCCTGGAAACTTGCTAAGGGTGCGCTTGACGGCTGCTTGACAACATTCAGTTGCAAAGCTGTTACATGTCCTTCTCCCAACTATTTTGGGGATTGACTTTGAGAGACCTGAACTCTTATCTTGGGAGGGAACTTGTAAAGAGTAGGGGGGCTGTCACAGAACCTGCACTTTCAGGCAGAGAAGCCGTCCCTTGTCTTCAACATGCTGTCACATTGGCAGCGAAACAGGAGTCGAAGACATCAACACTTAAGCAAGTGATACTTCGACCCTCTTTCGATGTGAGGCTGCGTCCTCTGGCATTCGAAGCTCGGCAAACTCTCACTAGGACTGGGGGCATAGCGGCATAGTGCATGCTGTGTCCTGCCTTGCAGCGTTGCATGATGAATGATTCGAAGATTGCAAAAGCAGATCTACTAATCCGTCTATTTGTTTGTCTATCTATGTGCATACCGGATGTAAGCTTTGGAGTTTAAGCTACTTTCGCCAAGGAAAGGGCACAAAAGAGGTGCCTTGTCTATTTAAGATTATGGACATGTAGCCTCCCAAAACTGTTAGCCGCAGTGTTTCAGGTCCCGCTATCTGTGCCGAGGCCGCTTGTCTTTGCATTTCGGATTGGTCTGTCCATTGTACCCACTCGCTGTTCCCATCAATTTTTGCAATGTGATACCTGACACAGTTTGTTGAAGTTTGTGAGGAACTCTTTTAGCTTGATTGGTCGCTTAGTATGTTGATTTTACTGCTCGCGTGCTCACGTGATCGGGTACTCGCTCGCTGGCTTGCTTGCTTGCTTGCTGGCTGGCTGGCTTGCTTGCGTGCTTGCTTGCTTGCTTGCTTGCTTACTGACTTTCTTACCTGCTTGCTACTGGGTTGCTTGGTGGTTTGCGTAATTGCTTGTGCAGTTTCTTGCCACCTTCTTCTGGAGTGATTGGTTGAGCAGTATGTAGCTTTTTGAATTGATGGTGGTGGACCTGCTTTCTGGACCTGTTTTGGGCAGTAGTCAGGAAGCAGCTTGATGTCTTCGTAGGTTTTGTTGCTACAGGCATCGACAAGTGCAATAACCATCGTTCATTTCGGTATTGGATGAGGCATCTCCGGTTCCTTGATTCTTGCTTTAAATGGTGGCCTAATGCGGCCTATACCTTGCTTCCTACTCAGGAAATCGCCAGCGAATTCCAGAAGTCAAAGTGCAGTTGGCAGCCCTAGAGGATCACCTGTCAACTCCAGCCCACCTGGCAGCTCCATGGGAAGCCCACCACCAAGCAAGAGCCCAGTGCCAAGCAGAAGGCCGTTGTCCTTGGATGGTCATTTTGCGGTTCGAATGCACATGACATCAACTACGAGTGGGCTGGTTAAAGTTGCTAATGAGACATACTTTTGTTGGCAGAAACATGACCCGTGTTGCTCAAGTTTGCTTGTCACGTGTTGAAAGATTGGATGTTGATGTTCATTGTGTCCTATCGGCACTCGAAAGCAGCGGCTCTGCAGGATATCCGGAATTTCTTTGCCAAGACCTTTAAGCCCCTCCAGTGGTCAGAAAGAGGGGCCACACGAGGATCATTCGACTGCAGCCAATTCTATGCAGCCCTATTTGGCGTGCATACCGTAAAGCTATCCTTTTTCTTGTTCCTGACTGGAATGGAAGGAGTCCGACGATGCATCACAGCCGAGCAAAGCAACGCGTTTCGGTGGCACACGGTTCTTTCTCACAATTGACAATGCTATCAGCCATTCTGCAGGGTGGGATTGAAGAAGGAGAAGGACAGGCACAGCGTTGAGACAGCTGAATTTGATGCGATGCGGCTGGAACTGGTGGGGCCCATTGTTGGGAGAGCTATTTGAATCTTGGTTGAACTGCCGTTAAGAATTTAAGAATCAGATTCAGGTGGCTTTAAACGCAGAGTGGAGAAAGAATCACACCAGCACAGACCCCAGACAGCAAAAGATATTTGTGAGCAGCGCCCTGCAGCGGCACCAGCACTCAGGCTCCAAAGTGTGCACAAGCACCTCTTCCTGTACTTGAAGTAAGAACCCCATAGCTCTCCCTACCTGGGGAAAAAGAAGATAAGGGATCGTTAAACGATCTAAAGCGGCCCAAATATATATGAGGGTCACTGAACTTCTTGTTTCTCCTCGTGAGACTCGTGCGCTTGACTTGCACCTCCGCGTTTTCAAAAGGAAAGTCCGGCATTCGGCCCAGGTGCAGTTTGGCAACTGGATTTGCTCCCTTCAGATGATGCAAAGGATGACAGTGCTGACGGCCTTTTGGATGGTACAGCGTCTTGGAAGCGGTTGCTTTAAAGACTGTGTCATGGAGAGAGAAAGAGACAGAGAGAGAAGATGGTAGCCTTTCACGGCTTATGCAGCTCACACCACCATGGTGTGTGTGTTCGTTTCCCACCTTGCAACATTTGGACAGTGGAAGCTAGTAGACTTGTGCATGTTGCAAACGTGGCTATGTGATTGACGCACAAGAACTGAGTAACCAAGTTACATTCTGTTGGAAAGTCCTCCGTAGCGCCTGCAAATGCCAAACTTCCTTTCTGGCGGCGTGTACTGCGAGTGCTAATAAGGAACAGAGGCAATGGCTGCGGCCTCGACACATTTTGGCAAATCTGGTTGCGGTCTGCAATGTGAGGTGATAGATTGCTTGTTTCGAGGTCGCACCTGCAATACAGCAAGCTGACATCTGAAATGGCACAGAGGGAATTGGGAAGACTGAAGAGCGGCAAAGTTCGTCGTGATCCTTTGCCAAATATACTGTAATATAGCTGAATGGGTTTGAATGAGTCTGAATGGGAAGGTTGAGAGTTTGCAATCATTTTATTTGATGAGAGTTGATGCCAACAATTGCACGCGCGACGTGTGAAATGGCTGCAAGGAGAAGAATGACAATGATGATGATGGGTCGGATTCCCACCCAAGTGCAGATGAGAAGCCCGCAACAGAGCTACGAGACTTGTCTGCAAGAGAGCGCGGCTTATGCTGTCCACGAGAAGAAACCCTAGCCGGAGCGCCTCATGTCATGTTGCGCAGCAGGAATATACGGTGTAAATTTCAATGATGCAATATGCGCAAAGATGCATGTCCTTTCGTTTGTGCACCTAGTTCGGGGCTTGTGGGCCTTCACTGCCCTAGTGACCAAAGCTGCGATAGCAGCAAATGCCACACACAAAGGAGAAACTCTGCATCAAATTTAAAAGGTCAGACCTGTGCTCTCCAAGCACCTTCTTTTGTACGGGTCTTTCAATCGCATCAGCCATAGAAAGATCAGGGTGGTGTTTCGTGGATACCTGTTCTTCCGCCAGGCACACACACACACACCCCTGCCTAGCTGCCCGCTATCATTGCTTCCCCCAGGGCCTTTCTGCCGAAAATGCTACCAAAACTTCTTCATGCGAGCAGGCCTGTCTTTGACAGTGTGCCTTCGCCCTTTTGCATGGAAATTATCTATGCAATGAATCTAATGCTAGCCTCTGCTAACCTTGCCGTGCAATGGAATGTCATGTGATGCAAAATGCAGTGAAGTGTGAAATGCATTGCCCTGCATTGCCTCAATGCACTGTAACGGTACAGTAACGCACAGTGATACAATGTGTATATCATACCAGGATGTAAAACAATATGCTTGGTTACCTGGTTGGATTTTACTTGATCAGATTGGATTTTACTTATATAGTTGGCTTCAATGGAGTAGATTGATTGGATTGGGTTGGATTGCGGGCTTGTCGGGTTTAGTTGGAGTGGGATGGGACAAGAGTTGCATTTAGGTTGAATTTTGCAGATTGAATTGGATTGAGTCCATTGATACTTTGATCGGCTAATAAATAGGTTGATATGTAGCAGTATGGACATGGCAGAGTCATCGTCATGTATATAGTGATACGGATCCTCAATGGATACTGTAAGCTTTTAAAGGATAGTTTCAATCAAGCGTGATTGACGATGGCCAAACAATATGACTCCTGACTAAGATGACCACACGCAGCGGCCAACATGCGTGACCACACACAAGATAGTCGCTGAGGTAAGCTGCATGTGCAGAAAAAACCTGTGCCCCTTACTGGTATTAATTATACGGGATGTTTTCCCGGGCTGTGTGCAGCACACATTGGGTTCAGATGGTGCCGTCGAACCGAGCTGACCACGCAGTGTGAGCCAACCGCTTGACACTCAGCCCACTCATCACTACGCTACGGTCTCATCACCACGCTACGCTTCGCCAAATTTCGCTTCATCGCATCATCATATCACCTCATGGCACAGCATAATTCACAACAGTGTGCTGGAGGAAACTTCTTGGAAACTTCCAGCCTCCGATTCTCTCCAGACATTTGGTGGTTCTGCTGGTGAGTGGGGTGCTAGAAGTTGACTGCGGAGTAGGTGCCTAAAAAATTTAGTAGTAGGAGGGCAGGTTAAAAAGGACAGAAATGAAGACAGACAGGTCTAAAGAATAAAGGTAAGAAAAAGCACAAGGTCTTAAAAAAGGACTGCTTCACAAAGCCATGTGTTCCTTTCCAGTCTGTTTGAAGTGAGCGGTGGGAGTGCTTGCGATACAAATGCGACATGCCAGCCTAGGCCAGCTCCAAAAGCGCCTGACAAAAAAGTCAAAGAGGCACCCCAGCTCAAACTAAAGCATTTTGGCAGAGTCAAAAGGGGGGGGCATTGCAAACCACAGCGCGAAATTCAGTGCATCCTCTTGGACTTGGCCCGGCTGTGGAGAGAGCTTTTGCTTGTGCTGCTTAACCTTGCAAGTGGCTTGTAAAACTTTGTATTCGGACCGAGTAGTTTTCTGCAAATGGCAATGCAAGTGCAAAGGTGCACATGAGCTCATATTGAGCCTTTGGCTGCCACCAGCGTCACTGCCCTCGAGGCAGAAAACTTTCAAGTTTGCGCCTCCAGAAGAACCTGAAGCGGAAGTGAAGCTACTCAATTGCATCATGCTGCGCTGATGATTTATGGCTGTTGACTCGCATTGTGAAACATGTGCGCACATGCAGGTACAAAATAGTGGTCGCGCTTCTGTGATGCAATTAGCAATCATTTCGGGCCTTTGCGATGCTGTTTGTCAATCCACGTGGCCCTGCTTTGTTTCTCCAAGGTTTGGAAAGGCAATAAAAGTTCCAATCAAAGCAGGTGTGATGTGTCTGAAAGCAATTTTTTCGAGGTTATGAATGTCGATGTCCTAACCGCAGGAGAACATGGAGCTTCCAGAAAGCACAGTAAGGCAGATGCTTCCTGACCAGCTGCCTTCTTTGTTTTGTTTGTGCATTGTTGGTTTTCTTTGTTGGTGCATTGTATGACACATTAAAGACCCGACGATTGAGTGATAATCTTGTACATCCTAAATTTGCAGGAAGTCAATTTGCATAGCAAAATCCACAGAATTATTGCATAGTGGCATATTTTGCATTGTTCGCAGGTGGGGGAAGCAGTGGAGAAGTTTCTCAAGCATTCAAGCACGGACACCCGGATTACGCTGGGATCGAGGACAGCGCATGATTTTAAATGGCCTGAGGTAATCGAGAGAGGCCAATGTCAGCAACCCCGAGTGATGTTTCCAGGCCTGATGACCGAACAGGTTGTGCCAGATAACTTTATTGCTGTTTTCATTTATAATTGAGTTATCATTTGGATGGAGCCTTCCCAGACAAGCATTTTTGGCATGAGCAGACACTTGGTGTTTGGGTGACAGCCTTGGCGCTGAATTGCAGACGCAAAGCTCACAATAGCATCAGCTGTAAAATCCTTTGAGCCATGAACAGCGCCTGAAAGGGCTGTGAGTACACCAAATCTCTTTGGTTACCTGATTGCCTGGTGTCATGAATTGACATAGCCAAATTTGAATATCACGAAAGGTAGCCTGGTAAGGACTACCTTGAGCTTGCTTTGCGAAGCAAAGGGACTCGCTTGAGAGCCTGCTCGGGACTAAAGATTGGTAGATCAATGTCTAACACCGCCACCCCACCCCTCCCATGTGATGATTCATTGATAAATCAATTGTTTTGCACCCCCCCCTTCCCCTCCACTCCCCTCCACTCCCCTCCCCGTCCCCTCCCCTCGCCAGCACTACTAGCATTCTGGACACACCATCACACCATAAGGTGAAGTCATGCGCTTAGCAGTCACAGCAGTACGACGCTGGCCATGAGGTTGCGCAATACAGCACGAACCCTGCACAATGAGGTTGCGCAATGCGGCTTCGATGCCGCGCGTGCGCACCCGGCAGCCTGACACAGCGCGTACTGCGTTCACAGACCATATTGCTCGACACCAACGAGCATCGATGCAACACAGCCTCTCGACTCAGCCTTATACCCTAGCGTGGCGACATCTTACCGCATCATGGAGCACCACTACACAGCTATTTACGCACCCTTCCCATCAGCCACCCACCATAGCGTGACGTCCATCCCTGGCAGTACCGGCCGCACCGCACTATCCTTACAAGGGGTTGGTCACTGCCGCTTCGACGCAACGCGTGCAGGCCTGTGTCTTGACACAGTGCGTGCAGCTGTGGGACCATAGATGGTACACATGCGAGCGTTTACGCGTTGCGACTTTTACGCGGGCCTGTTTTCACACACCTTTACGCAAACGAGCGTCGACGCAACGCAGCCTCTCTGCAGAGCCGTGTGGCGCAATCTGACCGCAACGGTGTTCCTCTTGAGCCTTCTTGTGCTCTGTGGCTTTGTTGGCTTTATCCGTGATTGACCAAGGGGAACGTTCCTGAAGCACCGGGGGCAGTCCCTCACCAGGAAAGGTCCCAATACCCGGTCCGTCTCTACCTTTCGTGTTTCCCCGCTCAAGTTCTAATTACTTCATTGCAGAGATTCAGATCTCAACATTTTCAGCGGAGGCGTGGGCTGAAAGCTCCTGCAGGCACTACGCAAAACGTTACTTGGGGTGTATTTTTGCATTGGTCTCCGGCTGAGGTATGCGTGCTGAAGGCTCAAGGACGGTCATTGTCAGTAGTTCTGTGGCTTGTGGTCGGTGGCGATTCCGATTGTTCAATGACATGAATGCTTTGTCGCGGTTTCAGGAATGGTAGCCCGCGCAATTTGGAGAAAGATGAGAAGGATGAGAAGAATGAAACTTTGAGCTTTCAATTGCAGAAGGCAGAGCAGAAGGCCGACAAATCATCAAAGGATTCGAACAAATCCAGCTCCAAAAGCTCCAAGCCAAGTTCAAAGGAAAGCGTGCAGCAGAGTGCCAGCCTCTCACGAGAAGAAGCAGATGGGTACAAAGATTTGAAGGAATTTGCAACATCGCCAAGTTCCCGGCAAAGTTCACACCCAAGCCCTGCAGTATTCCAGGTTTGGGATCAACAAGCCGCCAATATCGTAGATTTTGACAGCTGCGTGAGTGCGGTCCAACTCGATGTGGTTCATCAAGCTGTTGATGGCTCTCGATTGGACGACACTGCTCCCTCAGTTGATGAAGCTGATGAAGGCCGCAGCTTTAGCATGCAGAAGGCCAACTGTTCATTTGCAGGATTGATGTATGACCCTTTTTGAACAAGGTTGTGACATACTCGTGCCAAGGTGCAAGAGTTTTGATCAGCCCTTCGAGAAGGTCAAGCATGCGAACGAGACGGGAGGAGGCGACGTACATTGCACAAAATATTGTGCACCTTGGTCGCGCTGGCCTTTCCCCACATTCATGAGTAGGGTGAACAGATGTTCCATCAGAGCAGGGCTACGGCTACAGAAGTAGCCGCCATCACAATCCCAACCGAAGTTGGACGTTGAGCAGCATTTGTGAGCAGCCAGAACTCTGCAGCTTTGCTTCTGAGGTATGGCCCAGGGGTTCCTCCCGCAGCAGGCTGGTGGGGTATGCATAGTTTTCTGACGTCTTGTGCAGTTTGGGTTTTGGGTTTGGGCCGAACTTTCCCGCTGGCAAGGCTCAAGTGCAGGTGGTTCAACCATCCAGATCACGTGCTTTGGCAAAATCGCAGTGTTGCAGCCAGTGGTTTCACTCTACTCGTTATAGCTGTTGCGGGCAAGGCTGCCTCCGTCTGTTGTGGACGAGGTGCTGCTTGCGGATGCATTTCTTGAAGCCAAATCATTTCAAGACAACTATATAGGAGGAAATGTGCCGGACAGAAATGGACTCGACAAATAATGTCAGCTTTGTTGAGCGGTCAACAACTTGCATCGGCTCATCATACTGCAAGTACTGGACCCCAGGAGGCAGAAAGACGGCGCAGCATACACCAGGCGCCTTGAAGCTAGGAGAAGCGCGCACGTGGAACACTTTCTGTACCACGTGCTCGAAGACAGGTGCGGCCACTTGCCAAAGCTCCTTCAAGCCGCCCGCTTTCGCCGAAGGCTTGTTCGCATGGGCCCCAAGCCCAGGTGAGGAATTGTCCACATGTCATTCTGCATGCACACCCAAGGACCACTAGCGATGCAGCTCAGATGCAGATTCTTTGGCTCCATGTGGCTTCATCAACCAGTCGAAGTGGAGAACAGCAAGCCTTTTCTGGAGTGGGGTTCTAGTTACTTGCGACAACAAACCGTCCACACTGGGATTATGTTCAACCTTGGTTTTGCCTCATTTTTGGTTTTCACGAAAAGGCAACATTGTATGATCTTTTGTTGCACTATGTTGGCATCATGTGACCCCAAACTGGGATCTATTTTTGACCAGGTTGATTCAGTGCTGATTGCTTGTGCTTCTAAGCGTTCGGTTCAGGCTTCAGCTACATAACGTAGTCTCGTGTCAGTCGATACTGGCACTGACCCATGAGCCATGCCAACTGACTTACTAAAGTGAACCAAAACTCATTTTCGAGCTAATGTCGGAGCAACTTTGTTGCCCATCTTGTCCCTTCTACGCCTGTCTCGAGCCTGAGACCTTCAAGAATGCAGAAAATCCATGCCTGCATGTCTCTTGAACTTGCAGTCGCTTCATTTCCCTGTCAGCATGCTGAGCCAAGTTCATTTTTGGGCTAGGCTATGTTGTAAAAGGGTATTATATTTGGCAATGTTGACCCAAGGCTCCGCTTGTGAGTGCAAAGGCTCCCATTTTGGGCTTGCATTATATATTCTATTTCGGCCGATGCAATACCAACCAACAAATTGAACCAAACCTGCAAAAAATGGCCCCGTTCTTGGGTCTAAGGCTCTAAAACTCATGTATATACAGATTTGGCCATTCATTGCATGAATCAAGATTCAGGCAAGGTTCACAGGCAAGAATGCCCCCTGTGTCAAAGCTAATCAGTGCTTGCAGTTGCTCCCGGTTCAAGCGTGCTTGGGAACAACGCGGGCACCTTCGGTACGGGCGGATTTGGAATTATATACTTCAAATTCAGTTAATGCTGGCTAAGCTTGCCATGAGGTAGTGGAAGCCAAGCTTGCCCATGTCACGCTGCCAGAAATCTCCTCAGCACATCTGGATTCCAACGCCACTTGAAAGCACGCAAGACTCTTCCAAAGGACCAGAAAATCCACCCGCCTTTTGCTGCCTGTTGTCCTGATCAAGGTGGCGTTCAGCACAACTTCAGATGAGACAACTTTTCTATCCGGAAAAGTGCGACCCTGAGCCCTTTGACGTGGCACGCCGTGTTTTTCTTTAACTGGTCATCTTCGCCAACCAAGGACAGGCTAGGATCAGTGCATCACTGTAGCTTCAAGGCGTTCTTGTCCGGCTGCACGTGGTTTGGGGTTGCCACGGCTGAGATTGCTGTGTGGCAGGAGTGGATGGAGAGGCAAGAGAACTCAGAGCAGGATGTACCAGGTGGGGCTTTGGAGACACGTCATGCGATTGCAAGCTTGAGTCCAGCTGGCAGGGCAAAGCTCAAGCCCACCAAAAATCGCTCCATTGCGTTCGGCAAGGGTGATGGCCTTTGTTATTCATCCTCATGCTGTCATGGTTGCAAGTTGAAAGGATGGTTTTTCCGATTGAAAGACCTGCGACTCAGGTGGTGAGATTAAAATCTGGGCCAGTCAGTGTTGGTACCCTTCCTGACGAGCCCTCCTTCGATGCTCCAAAAGGCTGATGGAGATGTACCGGGAGACATGCTGAACCATGTGTGAAGCCAGCTGAGCCCTGCTGAGCCGCAGCGCCCCTGGGCAGGCATGGTTGAACACACGGTTGAACACCAGCCGCGGCCTGAGTGTGGCACTCGTAGAGCACGTTTGTGCTTCAATCAACACTTTTCATGTGAACCATCAGGCGACTCTTGCTGGTTGAAGGCTGACCAATCTTTGATGGCTTTGCCGAGGCCAGTGGCCGAGGAAGAGACGAAGTTGGCGCTGAAGAAAGTCTCTGCTTCCGGGATGCAGTGATGAAGACATGCAAAGACGGCAAGACTGAGTCACTAGGGAGGTATTGGAATGTAATGGACGTGTCGCAGTCGAAGTCTCCGACTGTGGAAGGTTAACTTCAAGACTCCACAGTCAGCACCTCCCAGCAGAGTCCCACCACACAATCGGTGGCTCGTTGGCAACGTTATATATATATATATATATATGTGTGTGTTTTTCCTTTTTGTCAACCAGAATGACCAACTGAAACAGTGGCGGGCCACCCAGCCGAGGCAACGCAGAAGCACACCTCAGCCCAAAATGGCAGCTCAGCCTTTGATGTCAAGCCCCATTTCATGTGGAAACATGCATGCCTTGCTCAGGGCTCAGCACGCGGCACGCTGCATTTGAAATCAGCACCGGGTGATGGTGGTTCTCCTGCGCCTCTTTCACATAGGCCATGACGGCTATGAGAATTAGTAATTCCTCAACATACGCAATGCGCATCACGGCTTTGCCTTTTGTGTGAGGGTACTTCAAGATGACCCTTTCCCTCAGCCAGCCCGGAGCCCCCAGGCGCGATGTGCGGGCCACTTTAGCACCAACAACTCCCTTTTTGCCGTCTTGGTCTTATCGACTCACAACTGCTTATCAATGGTGGTCACTCGCACAGATGGAGACTAGTGGAAACACATCTCCACCTTCTGTTGGAAGATTAAGCTTTCGCCGATGGCGCAGCTGCTGCTGTCACCTCTGCACCTCTCTTGCTATTTCGCTGGCAATTGACAACAGGTGTAGTTCTGGTGACCGCTCAAGTTAGTTACACCATGCTGCTGCAAGAAAAGGTTCTTGTTGATTTTGCTTGTCCATTAGCAGCTACTACAGGTCAATCTGCAATCGCAACATTAGCACCTGCGTGAAGTAGGTGCGGAAGAGCTAGCAGCCGTTGCCATGACAAGCTTCAGGTATCCCAGCCCAACCCTGGCACATTTTCAGACAGGACTGACACCGCGCCTATTTCTCTTTATATCTTGATGTTGTGTTGTGCTAGTATGACGACGGAATGCTCTTGGAGGAGTGGCAGGGGTGAAGTCTTAGCAGCCCATGCTTGCGGAGTCTTGGCGCAGAGAGGCCAAAAAAGACAAGAACGATGCGGATTCGTTCTTCGCCAGTGACTTGTAGGTATTGCAGCTTTTCACACTGTCCAGGAACCTTGGGAGCTACCCAAAGTGGAGCTCAAGAATCAGTTCGACCCTTTTTCACCCGTGGAGCACTTGAAAGGCAAAGCTGGGGAACAATGAGAAGACTGCAAAGTTCTTTAATCCTGCACTGTTGAAGGCATCCACCCGATATGCGAGGACTTCGTCAGGTGGATTGGCAAGACTGAGGGAGAGTGGGAGGAAGGGGGGACCGCGTTGCAAGCCACACAAATGCAGCGGAAGCACGAACACAGGCACCCATATCTGCCGTACCTATTGCTGGGAGTGCTGCTACTCGCAGACTGCGGCAAGGAGGCCAGGCAGCACAAACTCAAGGAGCGGGAAAGACCAACATGGTTAGAGGTTGAGACATTTTGTCCAGGTTGGGTGCAGTTGACAGAAGCGGCAAATGAAAAAGTTGTCTCAGTTTTCTTCACACTTGACATGTCCCCGAGTATGTTACATGCGATTGGTGGCCACCTTTCAGTTGCTGATATTTCGGATCAGCTTTGGGATTCAGGGTGTAACATCCTGAGATCCCAATTAGACAGAGACCAAGACGGAGTCATGCCATCGCATAAGCCCTCAAGTTTTCGAGAGCTATTTAGACACCTGGCCCAAAAAAAAGAAAAACTCTGCAGCCTTTCCAGCTGCAGAGCTGAACGTCAACTCCCATGTAACTGAACTGAACAAAGAAAGCCAAATGATGACTTTGTACATCTTGCACATTCCATTTTGGCCATTTGCGCTGAAGCATTGCCCAGCATGACGACCGTTTCCAAGCTGGGAATTCAAGGCATACGAAGCTTCAATCATGAACGGATGGAGATCATCGAGTTTGAGAAACCACTTACCCTGATTGTTGGACCAAACGGTTCGGGTAAGACTACAATTATCGAGTGCTTGAAAGTTGCATCAGCTGGGATCCTACCTCCGAATGCCAAGAATGGACATGGCTTCATTCATGACCCGCAGATCGCTCGGCTTCCTGAAGTGAAAGGACAGATTCGAATGCTTTTCAAAGCGGGGGTGGATCAAACAAATCGTGAGATTTGTGCGGTTCGGTCTTACCAATTGACCAACCGGAGAGTGGCTGGCCGATTGAAGCCAACCTTTAAGGCCTTGGAAAGCGTCCTGCGGACTACGGCAGATGATGGTAGTAAAGCCAGCCTAAGCCATAGATGTGCTGACATGGATACCCAAGTGCCTGAACTCATGGGTGTGTCCCGTGCCGTGCTGGAGAACGTGATTTTCTGTCATCAAGAGGAGTCATCGTGGCCTCTTCAGGATGCTGCTAGTGTGAAGAAGCGCTTTGACGACATTTTTGGTGCCACGAGGTATACCAAAGCTTTGCAGAACATCAAGGAAGTACAGCGTGACTGGACGAAGATCACTCGTGAACGGAAGGCTGATGCGGACCTTTCCCAGGCGCATCTGGATCAAGCAAGAAAGCTCGGTGGACAGAGGGAAGACCGAGAACGAATCGCCAAAGAGCTTTCAAGTGAGCTTGAAACGTTAGATTCCAAGCTAGGTCAAGTCGATGAGGAGCTGCAGAAAGCAGAGTTAGACCTCGCCCAGTATGAAAGTTGTGGCATTCGTGTTGCCGAACTGAAGGGCTTGATCGGGAAGTGCCACAAGGACAAGCAAGAGACGGCTGAAGCAATGAAGCAGAAGGAGCAAGACATTTTCAGAGAGTCCCTTGCAGAACTGGAAGAACAGTCTAGACAGTTCAATGAGCGTGCCATAGTTCAGAGTGACCAGCAGGTTAAGCAGGCCAGGGCAGAGTTGGCCAAAGGGGAGTCTGTGTATCATGCCGCAGTCAATGCCGCACGGCAACTTCGTGAGGATATGGGAGAGACGGTGGCCGCTGCTGAACTCTTGACTTCGCGCAAGGCAGACCTCAAGGGCCGCCTGCAGCAAGCAAACGAGCCTTCAATAGAAGCCTTGAGGGCCAAACTGGATTCGGAAGCAGCCAAGTTTGCTCAGGCAGAGCGAGAACAAAGGCAACGAGATGCGCAAGCTGAAGAATCCATTGCCGCAACTGAACGGGCTTTGCAAGAGGCGTCGTTGGAAGCATCCAAACATGACTCTCGAATTCAGGATGCGACAAAGGCAATTACCCGATTAGAGGAGGAAGCAAAGACCTTGGCACGGGCAGGGCCTGACTTGGATGCTTTAGTTCGTGGCCTACGGGAGAACGAGGCCGCTCTAGGCGCTGAAGGAAATGATGCACGGCTTCGACGTCTGGAAGCACGGCAAGAAGATATTGGGAGACGGCGTCACGACTTGCAATACTCTTTGCAGCGGAAGAGCAGTGAGGTAGCACAGCTAGAGGCCCAGAGTAGTGTTCACGCTGAAGTTGATGCCTTGAGGCAGCGCCTCAGAGAAGCAGAAACAGATCTTGGGAAGAAGCTGGGCGAGTTGCGAGCGGGACTGGTTCCTTTGCTTGGACAAATGCCAGAAGCTGCTGAGGCAGAGGCCAAGGTAGTTGCCACTTTGCAGGATTCACAGGCTGCGTTGCAGCAACAGACCAAGAAGTGCCAAGATTTGCAGAATCGCATCGGAATTGCTAGTGCCAAGAAGGCTTCTGTAGAAGCTGAGATTCACAGATTGCAGCAGGAAGATTCACGCATTGCAGCAGAACTTGGTGTGCCCTCTGCCACCGCCACCGGCCCTGGGCACAGCAGCGCAGCTGCAGAATTTAAAGCTCGGCTTCAAGACATCAAGCAGCAAATAGAGTTTGCTCGGAAAGATGTGTCAATGACCGAGAGTGCGAAACACATGTATGAAAAGTTCCGGGAGAAGTCTCGATCGAAGAACATTTGCCAGTTCTGTAAACGAGCCTTTTGTGGAGAAGGAGACCTTGCAACTTTTGAAGATGCTATGGAGAAGCTGATTGCCAAAATTCCTGGCTTTTTGGAGTCTAGCCATCAGAAACTAAGCGAGGTCCAACTGCGAGAAACTGCGCTTGAGTCTCAGCGTCCTCGTTGGGACCGCTTGGAGCAGTTGCGGAAAGAGGAAGTGCCGCGGAGGCAGAAAGAGCTTCAGCCAGCTGTGGAGGAAGAACGCCTGAAGCTCAGAGCTTGAATGCATTAGAATATGCTAGAATTCGCTACTAGTAACAAGGGCATCGCTACTAGTAGCAAGAAGCTACTAGCAACAGCTTAAAATACATCCCTTGGCTTGCATTTGTCCAGGATCCTTCCGTGCCTCCTTGGAACCAGAGGAAAGGGAAAGAAGACGGCTGGAAGAACGCGATCCTTGGATTGCAAAAGTGCTCACGACACACACTTATGGATATGCGTACTGACTTGACAGCGTTGCCACACGCCGGCCTAGGGTGCCAATTCCTAAGAAGATAAGTAGGAAACCACTGGAGCCTCGGGGTCCTCAAACGGAGAAGGGGCCAAACTCGCAAGCCGGGGTCGAAGCGACAGGGTGACGTCGTAACGTGCACATCTGCAGAACTCATTAGCCCTTTACCAGAAGATTGGAGTGAAAGCTTGTCAACACCACAACCAAGCAGGCACGTCGGAGTGATCAGCTCCGATATCCTCCCAACTCATGAGCAGCTTCGTTGGCAGTAGACTCATGAGTGGGCTACTGCCCCTGCTAAAAATTCAAAGAGAATCCCTGTGACTACAAGGGGCACACACACACACACACGCCTCCCCAAGGGGAGGCGAGAAGCACTAAGGTCCGGGCAAAAGTGTGAGTGTGCGCGCAGAAGACAAAAGAATGAAGACATGAAGAGGACAAGACGGGACAAGAGTGTGTGTGGTTGCAATGAAAAGGAACCAAGTGCGCAGGAACAACCGATGACAACCCACCTCATTATAAAAACCTGGGCGACCTGAAACCTGATTTGAAAGTAGGTTGTGCATGTACAAACTAAGGGCCGGGCGGTGTGCACGCAAAAGAAGGAAAGAGATGAGATGACAGGACATGAAGCAATTGAAGACATGAAAGAAAAGAAGGGAAAAGAAGTATGTAAAGGGGAAAGGATGAAAAGGGAACCAGATGGAGGGGACCGAAACCGATGAAGCCAAACCTCATTACAACGACCTAGGAAAATCTGCCTCGTTTGAATGTACACGCTGTATGTGCACCCAAGGTCTCGACAGGTTCCAACGAACCTCAAAAGTACTTTGACCGCTGTGGTCACCTTGTGCCCTGCCAAAGTGGCTGGCTGCTTTGACCGCTGCGGTCACGTAAAGGCATGAGCCAACTTGAAATTCCAAAGATGAGACAAAAATCCAAATTCTTGTGGCGTAAGCCATCCGCTGTCCGCTCCGGGCACCTACGTTCCCAAAGCCGGGGAACATGGACAGACACCCGTTCGACGGGTCCACGGGAGGCACTCTACGGGCTCATCCCGGACTCTCACTGGGAGAGACACACTTATGGATATGCGTGCTGACTTGACAGCGGTGCCACACGCCGGCCTAGGGTACCAATTCCTAAGAAGATAAGTAGGAAACCACTGGAGCCTCGGGGTCCTCAAACGGAGAAGGGGCCAAACTCGCAAGCCGGGGTCGAAGCGACAGGGTGACGTCGTAACGTGCACATCTGCAGAACTCATTAGCCCTTTACCAGAAGATTGGAGCGAAAGCTTGTCAAC